GATGGTGAAGCTGCTTGGCGCGCGTTGCAGGGAAGATGACAATGAAGCGTCTTGTCGCGCGTTGCAGGGAAGATGATGGTGGAGCTCGGGCGCGTGGTGGCGGAGTTGGAGGCGTGGCGCGACGGGAAGGGCGTCATCGTGTACGGCAGCGGCGGCACCTTCTGCTCGGGCGGAGACCTCGACATGGCGCGCCTCACGGGCTGCGCCGCCGCCGGCTTCAAGATGTCCGCCTACATGACGCACGTGCTGGACCGCTTGGAGCGCCTTCCGCTGCTCACCGTCGCACTCATCGAGGGATCAGGTGCGTGACGCAGGCGCGCCCTGCCGCTAGCTGACAGCGCTAGCCGATAACTGAATGGCCACTGACCCCGGTCGGATTTGGATTCTGTGGTGTACCCCCAAGCACAAAAAGGGTTTCTCCCCCGGAAATTCTGACGGAAAAATTCTGCTTATTAAATAAAATATTTAAAAAAATTAATGCACACATTTTAGAACAGCTCACTATTTGATAAGAAATATTTTACATATTTTCTTTGGAATATTTTATGAGCACCTTTCCTAGACGCGGAGCCTCTATGTTGAGGAATATTTTGCTTGTATGAAACCCCGTCCCTGAGACTTACTGAAGATGCGCGACTACCTGTGTCATGTCTTTCATTTTCTATTTATTTACTGTTTCCAGTCAATTACTACGATTATAAGTCCCTTAGGAGCAATGTATGTTATATCTCAGGAGACTCCATCACAGGAAAGTTTGGTCCGGTGCCGATCTACACGTCGCTTTCCTCCTCTAGGTATCTCCAGAATCGGGTCAGGCTCTAAGATCCCAACTGGTCTTCCGATATGAGTGGCAGTGAAACGTAAATATGTGCGTTTAAGAGGCGAGGAATGGACAAAGAAGGGGAAGCGGAGATCATGCTCGATTCGTGACCCGTTTAATAGGTTACTACTCCTGGTCGAAGAAAATAGAGAAAACTACCGGTCAGAGAAGTCGGCCACTAGGATGCTCCTCCAGACAGCTGCCAAACATCACGCAGCCATATAATCAAGGTAGAAAATACTCCACCATCGGAAATGGAACCCTAGGACCTCCCGACCAACGAGTCTGCACAGTCAAGTGTTATTGAGCCATCACAGTGTATCATGCGGAGTTTGCCGATTCAACATTTCAACAAAAGAAGGCCAATTCAGTGATAATTATTCAGCAAAATTCTCTTCTCTCATCCATTCAAAATCGTATTTTCGAAATCTAAACAGCATTCTTATATTACAAAGATAACAGTTACTTATGAAGGCGAAACATCACTAGTCTCTAATCACAAATTGAAAATGATGTCATGACGTAGGAGAGGAAGTAATAATGAATAAACGACTCGTCATTCATCAAAATAATCGGCGCTATCAGTTTGATTGTTTCTGGGGAGACGTTTCGATACCTTCAATGAAATAAAATTTCGTGAATGATTTCGACCTGAATTTGACAGAGTTTGATGAAAATTGTCTCTTCTCTTAACTGAAATCACCACCAATCATCATCTCATTGAGGGTTCAGATGAGTTACGCGGGGACGGCAAGCCCGATGGGGAAAAGAGTTCCAACTCACCAAGTAATGATGACGCAATTGAGGAATATTTTGGGTCTTATTCTTTACCTGTTCCCTTAGAATTGACTCCCTGGATCGAGGAATGCTGAGAAAGGAAACGAAGAAACGGGAATTTGAGTTAAACCCAACAGTTTTCTTGACATTTTCCAAAACAAAAAGGCAAGGAAAGCACTGAAATGTGGTTCTTTAAAGCTGCCCTCACACTTCAGCTCATTCCATGCCCGTGGTAATTTTACTTTCTTCCTACGAGGTAGAGAAAATGTTACGTAATGCTGCGCGAAAAAATGGCGAATATTTGGCAAAAAACTCTTATTACAGGGCTCTGGTAATATACAAGTAAATAAATTGCTAAATTTAGGGGCGGGGAATCCTCTATCACGTGGTGTAGCCACAATCCACGTTTTGTAGGTCCTTGATACCGAAAAATCGAATGACGATAAAACGTATTTCCATCTATCAGTCCGTGTGTCTGTCCGACTGTCTGTCCAACAATCTGTCCGATAGTCTGCCCGTCTCTCTGTCCTTCTCTTTGTCTGTGCGTCTGTAAGCAACGCTAGCGGCTAAACCGTTCAGGCGATTTTCTCCAAAAATTGATATCCTCCAATCGATCTGGCAAATATCGCAGCCCCTTGAATTTGTAACCGTTATTTCAATTTTGTTTCGGGGAGGTACTTTACATGATGCCCCTGAGACATTTTCAAAACAATTGCTGCATTGTTTTTGATTAAATTTTGTTGTTGGAGAGTGTGAAGGGTGTTTAAGAGAATGATGCAGGTCTCGTGTTCGTTAAAAATTCTACTTATTCGAAAATTGCGAAAGTTCAAAATTTTTTCGGATTTTTCATGCAACTAAAATATTAAAAATAGGGATTTTTTTCTTTAATGAAATCTGTTCCTTAATAATATATTTTGAAATGCCATGTAAAATGTTTCCAAAATTTGAATACTTTTCGCGTAATTTTACGTGAAAATACGGAGGAGAAAGTACGTGCGGTTTTAGCACACCTGTTTAGTATGTGATATGCCACGCGAAAAGAAAATCTATGCAACTTTTCAACTTTTTAGGAATTGTATCTATTTCAAGCACTATATTTCCTGGAATACTATGTGATATCGCTTGACGTTTGCTAGGGCAACGATGGCATTTGTACGAAGAGACGAGTTTCTTAATCCCCCATATTATGCTTATATTGTACTTGGGATCTGTATGCCTCAGAAGCATTGCGATACCAGTTCGCACTGATGTCTGTTATTATTTTTGTAGCACTATATTATCTTTATAAGAATTTCTTACTCCAGCACAATCAATTTAATGATTTTAGTGAAAGACTAGTGACCTGCAGAAGCAAAAATGCTGCTGTCATGTTTATGGAAAATGGGTCTCTCGTTTCGAGAATATAGGTATAAATCTGGTATGAGAAATTAAGGATCAGCGTAATCATTTTTTTCGTTTTTTTAGTCAAAATTGAAACTGTTTCTTTTTTTTAAATTTTTCCTTAGTATCTAATGAGACAATTAACACCTCTCATAAAGCCAAAGACTGCCTATTTTTTCGTCAATTTGTGCGTATATTCGAAAATAAAATAGATTCTTTCTTCATAGTAGCACTTTGTACCTGTGTCAGGCCACAAGCTGCTATTGGTTTCATGGCGCCATCTCGACTGTGGCGTGGGTCTCACAACAGGAAAAGTAACATCAGATGTGGGGAAGCCATTTCAAAGCTGCGCAGATAAGACGGAAACAACCTGCTCAGGGTCGCCGGGAAATAATTCCCACAAGAAGTAGAGAAGGAGAGACGGATGGTACAGTGACGTAGGTGCGGAGGGCATGGGTAAACGTAGTGGAATTTGCTGGATATCCGTTTAACTGTTTGATTGAGTAATTATTTTGCCTTTCTCGGTGTATCAACTGTTAGGGCCATATTTCCTGTAAATGTAGGGAGTCTGGAGGATGCGGAGTTAAACCCCTGCGAGAATGTGAAATCCCGTGCCAACTTAAAAATCCCCTTGCAGGAGTTCCCTCTCCAGGTATCTCATCCAGTGCAGCAGCGTCCCAACCGGGATAGGCTCTAAACTCTCGACTGACCTCCCGATCTGTTAGGTACTATAATGGAAGAGTAATTGTGTATGTAAGGGGAAGGGCCAAGGAAGAGGAAGAAAAGATACACCGCGCGCGGTCCTTGGTCCGTCTGTTTTAGTACCGGAATTCGTTTGGTCGAAGAAACTAGGGGAAGCTACTGATCAGAGCAACTTCCCAATAGAATTCTCCTCCAGAGAGTGGCTGCAGTACGAGTAAAAATGTTCAATCACGAAAGGGCTAGGAAATCAGTGTAACCTAGGGCCATAGTGGAAATAACATTTTCGGAAGGCTGTCTGTTAATCCAAAGCAATATATACCCAACATTTATGTTTGGAAACTATCAAGTAGCTCGTGAAAAAATTAACAAATTAACAATTCGTAAAGCTTGCGAGGGATCACAGAGACATACCAAACTTTGGTAGTTAAATTTGTCTTAAACTGAAAATTCTCATCGAGTTCAACGGTCACTGACATTCTACCAGAACCGGAAGTGCTAGCTGGCGAGCATCCACTGGTTGTTGAAGACAGAAGCGGATGAAATTAGTTCCTGCCCAATACAACTGCTTATAAGACGCCACACACAAGTACTATTGCTACTAAAGTTCTATCTATAAAAGATACCATTTCATTAACATTGTCAAAAACACCCCATAACTATGAGCAAAATCAGCCTAATTTTACTGTCATTATTTCACTCACTTTTCGAATAATCTCTGTCATGTTAATAGAAAATGATACCTTACGGATTTAATTTAATAAAAAAATCTTCATGATGCAAATGTTTCATGATTGTTCATGCTGTTGTTGTTCCAATTGTCACGTTGGTGGGAACAGAAGGACATCCGCATATCTTCACATATTGAAAAGTTATTTGACCCTGAAATTGAGATCTCATCACCTTTCGGGATACAGAACGACTTCCTTACAAAAAATTCGCTGAACTCTCAATAGATTGCGCTTCTGAATAGCACTTAAAATCAGGCTTGCGGGCAATCTGAAGTGCTTGCTGAGATAAGACGCGTGGCACGTGTATGAGCTGCAGATTCTCGCAAAAACGTCTTCGAGATATGCAAAGAAATTTTTTTTAATAAGATTTCAATTTCACGAAAAAGGATATGCAATTTTGAATTAAGTTTCTTTTTTTTTTTTTTTCGAATACTGGAGATACAAGTTTGCCGTAAATATTCAAATCCATGCTCTCACAAAATAGGAAAACTCAAAGTTTAATCGAAAAACTTTTTGAATTGTTGGATTAATTTGCTACACAAAACATGAAAATAAAATGAAGTGAAAGAAATTAATGAAATTGCCAATTCTTAAAGGAATGGGACGAAGGAATTTTTATTTTTCTTCTTTGGGTAGGAATTCTGAACACTTTTAAGAACTCTCTTAAAAAGTTTAGTCCCAGAGTAATACTTGTACAGCTCTTACATTTAAACTGCACATCGACGTCGTCTCTCACGCCGAAGCGATCGCACAGTCGATTAACGTTGTAGTCTTTGACGTAACTCCAAAAACTACGCGTGACAAAATGGACAGGAGGTTGTAACATTAGGCTATTCCGCTTTTCTGACTGTCGCGAACGCATAATGTTAACATCAAACTTAGCAGTTGGCAACTATTGCTGGAAGTCAGATGGACTTCGTTCTTG